GATATCTTTTTCATAGCAATTTTTTGCCTTTAGAATCTATCCTCCAAAAGTGTCTCACGTATATATTATTATTCACTTTGTACATGATTCTTTTTTTCTGCAATTCACAATATTGATGAAAAATTTTCCTCGGTCAAAAAAAAAAAAAAAAAAGAAATTCAATCATTTCAATGGTTGTTTTAAAAACTCGTGCACCAAAAACCTTGCTATTGGACACGACAGCGGATTCATAACGTTGCAAAGCTTGGTGGGAATTTAATATTAATACACAATTTCGGTCACTGTCTTGTAAGCGCTACCGGGAGCATATTTCTGGAATGTATTATTTATGCGATCACTTGCCAAGGATACAAATGAGCACAACGTGCTTATTTCTTTTCTTTCCGTATATATATATCTGTATACACATGTAAGAATGGAATCGAAAGCGTTGCCAGTATAGGGGACGATACAACGAGGTAACCAACCTCCCTTACATTCGATCGAAGCACACCCCAGTGTCTCATTGCTATATCTTTTACTCCGTGAGATTTCTGCAGCCCAGGATCATCGATGAACGTGTAAAAAATACTCGAGGGACGTGTACTGATTCAAGAAACTTGGTTTAACGATTTCCAAGCATCTTTCGTAAAATCGGACATTCTCGTCTTGCAGGACTTTCCTATGCGATGTACAAAATAAAGAGAGAGAAAAAGAATCTCATGAATATTACGAAAAATATATATATATATATATATATAATTTATGAAGAAAATGCTTCTTCTAGCACGCTTATTGGAACAGGTTTATCGAATTCAAAAATATTCTTCGAGTTTGAAGAACGTAGCTCACGAATTTATAATAACGAGGAAGAAGCATCATCGCTTGAAGGTAGCGATCATTTGAAACAGGGGAACGTTTTCATCATGAATAATGTTTGCAACATTGCACGAACTTATCCAATTTCCGACCGAGTTAAAAAATGTACATTAATCTTATCCTTGACGCGAACTTCGTTCGAAGCTCATTCCCGTTTAATACGTTGCATACGTATTCATTTAAAAGTTCCCTGCCTCGATTCAATTTTTTTATCCATCAGCAAGATTAACAACCGACCGATACAATAATGTTTTAATAATGAAACAAACTTTTCAACTATTTAGAATTGTATTCTTCTTGATTTATTTTACGTTGTTGTAATTTAGTCAAATATGTTTAAATAATAAGAAGGCATACATAATATTACATAATATACATAATATACATAATACATTATATACATAATATTTGTTTGAGGAATCTATTCTAGAGAAGAAAACAAATACACGAAAATATCGTTAGAGATTAATTTATTAAATTACAAGCTGCTTAAGTTCACGTTATAAACAAAGTGAGACAATGATACAGCTTTCCATCACCGCCTTTTCTTCCAGTTCCATCGAACTTAAACTGTTTAATAAATAAATCTAAATCGACACGTTTGTACATCAATTTTTACCTTCGTTTTGATCTTTTCAAATCAATTCTCTGAAGATGTCTCCGACAAATATACCAATATATCAATGTAAGCCATCTTTCAATATATTCGAATATATCGTGACTAAAAAACAGATATAAATCTTGTAGCAAAATGTTGTATACAAAATGAACAACAAGAAAGAAAATGACAAAGCAAACGAGACGAAACAAGTGGAATACAGAGAGAAACATCAACGAGTGATATCGATCAGCATTCGAGTTTTCTATATACAAAAAAAAAAAAAAAAAAAGAAATTACATGAAATAGCTTTAAGCCTGTCCCCTCTGCAACGTTTACAACGATTCTTCACAACGGTTGACAGACTTAAATATCGTTCCTTTCTCCTAATTTTTTTTATAAATTTTTTATAAAAGCTTCCCTCCAAAGCGAAGAATTTCCAATGTAAAAAACACATCGACTACTACATAGGGGTGGATGTAAGGTGGAGTAAGAAGCGTAAGAAAAAATATGCTCCCGACGTTGCACGCATATTACAAACCACGTATTCCCCCACGTACGAATGAACAAGCTCGCGTATGCCACTTCCTGCAAATCCGATGTAATCGAGGGGGTAGGGAGGAGTGTGGGGTGGAGTGCGTCGTAACAATACATATTCCACGTAGCAGACCGGTGAAAATATACATAAATATACATTTTTATGATGAATATACTAAAGGAGATATATATCTTTTCACGAAGATTCCAAAGGCGAATAGTGGAGCAGGAGGATAGATTCAGATGCGACGTATCGTATCAGAGAAACTCGTAAACGAGATATAACGAGAAAGAATGTCAAGTCTGGTATAATATTTCACACCGCTGACTTCCACCGCTTTTATATTTTCGTATTTTACGTTCGTGTTGTTAATATTTCATAATTAATTTAATTTGTGTTTTAATTTGTATCGTTATAAAAATCAATGGTTCTGTATATGTATATATTAGAATCAATTTCTATACCTCGCAACAAGTCTGACTTTTAACAAGTCTTAATTAAAATTTTAACGAGGAAACGGTAAATATTTCCTATCATGAACACTTGGAAATTATTAAATACGTTTAAACCATTTTTATTTTTTAATTATTATTTATTCAAGTGAATTTTTCAGCAAAAGCGAGAAGTAATTCACTTTTAACAAGTTTCGTGATTATGTATTCTAAAAGCTAACCATTTCGTATCTGATTATTATTCATCACTCAAAGAAACCACCTTAAATATAATGCAAATCGTTTCAGAGAACTCTTCTATCGGAAACTTTCCAAAGTGCTTAAATTATCTTTTAAATTATCTTTTAATTAATAATGTGTCCCGATTTAAAAATCCAATGGAACACGATCGGAAAGGAGAAGTAATTTTGGCAATCGAAATATACCAAAAAACGGTTACCTCACGCCAAATAAATGGAAAGAACTTTTCAATTAAAAAAGATTGGAAGATTTCTCAACGATTAATAACGGTTGATGAAGCGATAAAAATTAAATATGGAAAAGGATGATCACGTTGCATGATATCGCGTTGAATCCGCGATAAATGCGGATGTTATCCCGCATTTAGCATTTACGGAAATATCCCGCTGCGGCCTCGTCGTGGCCCATGGTACCGTTAAGAAATATGGTTCTTCGTCTTTTTGAATTACTACGGCAGAATGCGGGTGCAACGTCCGACGCTCGACGTGTATTAAAATCCTTTTAACCAGACATAAATAAAGGCACGCTCGGCCGGGTAATCTCCGGGGAGGATTACTCGGGCGTTGGCAAGACGGGAGGAAAAAGATTTTCGTTTTACCTTGATGTCGTCAAATGATAGGATGGATGCTGTCAGAGGCGATAGCTCGCGATTTCCTCCTCCTCCCCCCTCCAAGTCAAAACGTCCCTTCCATTTGAGAGATCTCGTTGCAATTCGTACGCCCGCCCCCTCGTAAATTTAATCTCTCTCATTCGCGTCAAAGTGAATTTCATAAAACAGACCGTTTCTCTCGAAGCTCTCTCGAAGCTCTCTCGAGAGAAGCACCTCCGTTTCGTTGCTCCATTCTTCTCATATTTGACTCGATTATGGGGAGGGAGGGGGGAAATGGCATCGATCGGATCGAGGAATGGAGAATAGGAGAGAAGAGGAGAGAGTGTTCGAACCGATCTGGGATTCTTGCAGACTAATCTCGGGAACGAGGTAAATGGTAACTGATCAACGAGGGAGAAGGGACGGGAATGAAAGTGGGACGTGACGGTCCAGAATGCAATTGAATTTCAGATTTACGCCCGACAACGTAATGCAACTCGGAATTACCTTGAATCGTAGTGATGTAGATATAGACTGCTGTATACTTTGATGGTTACAAAAGAACATCCGTGAGAGCTTCTTCGTCTTTTTGATCGTTAATTTACTTTTAAAGTGACGCTGATGGTAGGGTTTCTGAATGCGATCCGTGTCCTTGACTAAAATTCAATTCGTCGTACGAATTGTAAAGTGTTTGTTAAAAGTTTTAATCTAAATAATTGAAGTATTAAGTTTAGAATTGTTATTTATAACGATACGAATCGTTATAATTCGCGTTATAATTCGTAAATTATATTAATTAACTAATTATTCTAATTATTCTATAAACATCAATTCGTTCGACAGTAATAATAATTATTATCTGATAATCGAAATCAAGTGCGAGAGATTACATGTACTTTAATAAAGTATTATCGATCGTTATATTGGATCGATTGGACATTTTAAGTATAGTTATATATTACATTATATTTAATAGTTGTCGAATAAAATTAAAAAAAATAAATGTAGAAAATACGATGTTCATAGTGTAATGATTTGCGCAAATTTCTTTTTCGGAGCTCGAAGCTTTCTTTTTGTATCGTTCCATGCTGTTCAAACTAGATCTAGCTGGATCGTTCCTGTTAAGCCTCGTGATAATTATTGTAGAAGCGTCATTTGATTACAAGACCGGTTTCATCTCGCATATTAATATTACAAATAACAAACATTTTCATCGAATCTATATTACCTAGTGATATTTATGTATTTACATATTAAAAATACTTTATTATTATACATTACATACTCTAGTATTTTTTATAAAAATATCATTAATATTATATAAAATTAAAAAAAAAAAAATAAAGTAAATAGCAACGTGACATATCAGATAACGAAAGTTATCTATATCACTAAATCCACATGTAACGACTCTACTTTGATAAAGTAACTAGACAACTAGTAACAATAGATATCGCGAATCCCTGCAGAACCGATAGAACAAACCCTTAAGGTTAGGAAGGTTTGAAACGTGACGAAACTCGCTCGATAAAGTGAAAGTTGGTTTTATCCAAGGTCGATTAAAGATTGTTCGATCATAAACTTTTTATATCAGGATTTGGAAGATAGATGTCGGTAGACCGTCCATAACCGGTTCGATCCGCTGTATACCGCGCATGAAGCGGTGCGCATTCCCATTGACCAGTCTGTAGTCTGAGTCGTGTATTCGGGCCAATAGTAATCGTGCGGTGCCTTTGAGAACACGGTACGGTCTCTCGTTAGTCTCGTCTCTCGTGGTGCGTTTTCACACGTCACGTCGGAAGCGAGAAGGGCAAACGAAGAAAAGAAGGGAACAACAACGAAAGTTACGTCGTGTCGGTTAAAGAGATAAAAAAAAATCGAAACAAATTAGACGTCAGAATTGTCGTGAGGGATAGAAGTCCGTAACAAGTTCGGGCAAAATTCCTTGCGTCTCGTAACTCGTCTATCGCGTCTCTGTTTCCGTGCTATCGTGTTCGAAAGTCGCAGAGAAGCTGCAACTCTTTTTCGGTACCAGGATTCCGCAGCGGGAGCCGCGCAAGACGAGGTGAGTCACAGTTCTCGTGCACCATCCACGCGCATTTCCCGTGTTGAGAACCATTCCGAGAATCGAAAAGGTAACAGAAAGAAATTCCCTAATACGGCATGTATAACATTTCGATCGATGACGATTCCGTGGTAGTAGAATGTCGTTATCTTCGTCATCGTCGTCGTCACTATCTCCGTCGATGTTTCTACGCGCGTACGTGTGTTCGTGATCAATGCGCGCGTTCATTTCTTTGTCGGATTTTCATGACGATTTTTCCGTTGATGAAATTGCGGTTATGATTGTCTACGACACGCTATTCGAAGCGAGGCATTCGATGTTGTAACGAAAGTTGAAAGGTTCGCCTCGCGCAATCGATCTCGATTCTATCTGTGATACGTTTTTTAAACGAACTCCCGCCATTAGGCGGGATTTCGCGATCACCATCGTGCGAAGCGTCAGCGATACGATCGAGAGCTCGATACGTCACAATACCAGCCCGGGTATACGATTACTCGACGGGAAATGAGGTTAGACGTTACACACGCGGCTATCCACGCGAAAAATCAATACACGACCCTCCTGGGCCAGGATTCAGACGCGCGCGGATATATTTCTCGAATTCGAGGAATCACCCTTTGAGAAAAACGACACCGTTCAGCCTTTAGAAAGATTCTCTCTGTGTACGTGCATACACACGTAGGCATAGCTGACTATACGAGTAGACAGCAGCTGATCCCTATATGTACTAGTCGCGTCTATAGAATTTATTGTGAGGTTAAGCGATGCACCGTGCGTATTTATGAATTAATTTTATAACAATTACTCGAATGAATAATTAGAAAATAATTAGAAAATAAATAGAAATATTTGAAATTGTTGAACATATTATCAATAATTTTATTTTTACGATTTTTTTTTGCTGTTCCCAATAAAGATTTAATTCGGTTACGATAGAATATCAAATTAATGATTGTCCAGAGACAGAGGGAACATTGGCTAATACGGAAATCGGTTTATTTCCGTGCGTATGTGTATCGAGCTTTTTAGAATCTCGTTTAAGATCAATTATTTTATATAGAGATTAAATAAGCGTTTACTAAATTAATTAGAATAAAAAATTTTCTTGGATTTTCAATTGTCCGTTTTTTTCTTTCTCTTAATTTTTTTCTTTTTTTTTTTTTAAATTAAAGATTAAAAAATTTATAGAACTTCTAAGAACGAGATTAAAAATCAATCGTTATGTTTAAACTAAATTTATAATTTTATCCGGTGCATCGTTTTATTTTCATATTTTTTTCTACATCAAATTACGAGAAGAAGTTAATAATCATGAGCATGAAGAATATCTAGTAAATTTGAAGTTGGAGAACAAAAATTTTCTTGGTCAGTGAAGGTTTTAATTGACAGGAAGACCTTTGCGATAATACCCTTTGATGTAGTGAAGAGGGTTGTGTCCGTAAAAAGTGATTTACGCTTTCGTTTTTATTGTCGATAACGGGATACTGTAGAAAAGAAATTTCCTTTCGTCGAAACGGGTCGCGTCGACCGGATTGAACCGGAAACGCTTGCGTTACGAGGCGTTATTTTCTTCGTGACAGCCAGGCCGGGTACATTTATCGATCGTTATCGTTGTCGTTTTGACATCAAGCTCATCAAGAAGCCAAATACGTATCGAAATACAAAACGATCAATTCATGATTCTTTTGCACAATAGCTAATTGCATTAATATCATTAGCAAAGTTTTACACGTAATAATTTATAAATTATTATCATATTACACGATATTAAATTATTATTAAATAAAAATACATAATAATTTATGAATGTAAATACTGATTTACATTCATAAATTCTTTCTGATAAAGATTATATATTAATAAAGATTAATAAAGTGATAGAAAGAAACAAATTTGTGAATCAATTGATTATTTTATTCAAAATTAATTGTAAAATTTAAAAAGAGTAAAGCTTCAGTTATTATTAACCAATAAATTATTGTGCAAAAGGATTCATGTAATAACATAAAAGAAGAGAGAATAAAAATGCAAAATCGATTGCACATCATCAATCGGTTCGCCTTTGTTTATCCATAATTTTTGCATGCACGTGTCTGTTTTTTTTTTTATATTCATTCAAATAGTGTCTACACGTTCGAAACCATGGACAAAACGTGTAATCGGTGAATCATTCGATGGTCATCGAAATTTCAATGAACGTTCACAAAATTTTCACAGAGATTCGAACAATTTCGATGGCGCATTTCGGATAGACACCGATCACCGTTTAACATCTGTTTTTTACAAAGGCGCACAGCAGTTGCACCTCGCAGTTGGCATGAGGCCACGCATGATTGTCTAGATGTGTAATGATCATAATTGAATCATGGAATTTTTATGCATGTTAACGCCATGTTTCTCAGCCTATTCTATCTCTGTTTTCCCCTTTCTATCTCTATTTTCTCCTTGTTCTTCTTGTTTTGTTTCGAGGACCAATCGACGAGGTATTGGCAAAAGGATTCCATTTCTGAGTTAATGGAAAGGTCGAACGGTCGGGAGAGGATAAAGATATCGCTTTGGTTTGATTTAGACACGAGATCTATAATCTCGAGAAACGGATCGAGATCTGGAATCGAGGAAGGGCGTGCACAGGAAACGTCCTATTAGTTCTGAAACCGTAACATCTGTCCCTTTCTTGAGCCAGGAACCAATTAAGAAACATCAACCTAGGATAGACAGGTGCACTTAGATAAGATCGTGGGTCTCGTGGTCTGTCTTGTAATTTCTCGAATTAAAGCGATTACCTTATAAAAAGATATTCATCTCGAGAAGACAAGAATATAGACGAAAAAGATATACGCGTAGATGTATTGATTGAAAATTGAAAATTTTCTAGCATTCGTACTTGAAGAAATGTCGAGTTATGATGAAAACGATTTGATCTCGTTTAATTCAATATATATTGTGATATTTGAGGTAAACCATCGGTTGTTAAACCGGCGAAAACAATAATTGCAATTGTATCTGAGCAACGACAGGTGTAGCTGTCCTTTCGACCATAATGACGTCATGAATAAAACGTAGCTTCGTGCATCCTTGATGCACAGCAATAATGAGTGACTGTAGTGTTATCCATGCCTTTCGACCGCTTTTGGCTTTGAATAAATTAAGAGGAGAACACTGTGGACACAGGTGTACGTATGAAACTCGTGATGAATCACAAATAACGTTGAATTATATAAAAGATCGTATCGTGCACATTTTCATTAATATTCGAAGATAAAAAACATAATTACCTTAATGGCTTCGATTCAGTTACCAAGAGAAATTGAACTGACCAGAGAAACGAAGTGTTTAATTAAGAAAATTATTGGAGCATTAATAAAATCGGATGAGAACGAGAGAAAAAATAATAACGAATGGTATACTTGATGTAAAACTGACCTTTTCATGAAATTCCATTGAAAATATTCTTTCTCTCTCTCTCTCTCTTCTCTACATATTTCAACGAAACATGAATTATAAGCAATCCTTGTTTCATACTAAATCACTAAATTCCGAACTTTAAATCAAACTTGGGATTGAAATACAAGATAATCAAAATAATTAAATTGCAAACTTTCAAATATAAACATATTATATAATTATCAGTATCTATTTTAGCTATATAATAATGGAAACTTTGAAACACTTCTACATTTGAATACGATTTAAACTTTTATATAAAAATTCTTATCTTCTTCAGAGGAAAGTTTTAAAACTTTGATATTTCTATTCTTCAAATTGAAAAGGATAAAAATCAAAATATTGTGAATTCAGCATAAAAAAGATACTTTTTCAAATAATTTGTAAACACGATACAATGATGGAAAAAAAACAATATTGCATTAATGCATTCAAACAAACATGAACATCTCGTATATAATAATAATTTATCGAATATAATCTTGATTAAAAAAATAATTTCGAACATCGAATTATCGCAAATAATTAAACGCTAATCCGTTTCATCGAAACGTTTACAATTTCCTGATCGTCTCGATTCTCGATAGAACAGAACGATTATCCCCACCATTATTTACTCGTGACAACCCTTTCATATCAGAAAATCGTTTGCCAATACCTCGATCGATAACTCCGAGCTTGTTCACATGGAACCTCCTTATCTTGGATTTTCTTTATTTGCCCGTTTGCCCGTTCGTTTGCCTTGTTGACGCACGATATTGGCGTATCTCGGCTTCGGGCACGCGTATCAGCATCATCAACGCGGCTACACCAACGGCCGAAGGGGCGGCAAACGAGGAGGGACGAGAGTGTCGGGTGAGGAACGGCGAAGTAAGAAAGATAGATCCACCTTTAACGGTGGACAGGATCATCCTTGTCGAAGACGTCCGTACAGGTCGTCGAGGATCGGGGTTTGTCATCGTGGGCGAGTAACAGCAGAGGGAAAAGGGTCGCCATGCCGGCAGGTATTGGCGCTTCGTACAGGTCGCTAGGCGACCTGGGCGAAGACGTGTACAAAAGCACGACGATCGTCGACCAAACACAGACCACCGGACAAAGCGTCCTCGAGAGTGTCAAGAAGGCTTTCAGTTTCGCCTCGCCCAAGGTCGAGCTGAGGAAAAAGGACCCTCTGATCGTGGACCGCCGTGAGAGCGTCTCGATCGTCTCAAGGTAATGCCTTATACGATATTGTCTGCGTGTACAGGGGAAAAACCGGTCGGCAGGTAGGGGTGATGGTCGCGGGACACGCTGTTTCGCTTCGTCTTTTCGCCGTTTATCGACCTCGGACCTTTCTTAGTTGGATACTTGTTCCACTACTGTCTAGTTAAGGGGTTAAGTATATTAATAATATTGTTGGATAGATTCGATGCACGATTGATACGAATATATATTTTTAGCATGTTTTAATATGCAAGTGGAGTTAAGGAGAATCGTTGGAGTAATGATATCTCAAAGCAAATTGAATTATTAATGGAAATATCGTTCTTCAGATTGTCAAATTTCAGAAGTAAAAAACTTGTTTGTGAAATTTGGTTATCAAGACATGCGAAAATAAATTAAAAATTTCAAAGTGAAAGGTAAATTTTAATTAAGAGAAAATCGATCAAGTTTATATATATATATATATATATANTATATATTTAATAAGTTTTTAAAATTTTTTCAAAACAATGTTTCGATTCTACTATTCTTAATCTTTATCTTATTTTCAATTTCACTTTAGCAATTTTTGAAATGCTATTGCTTCTCTTTTATTTCATTCTATTCTGCAATGAAATTTATTATATTTGACGAAGTAATCTTTTCATATTGAGATTGAATATCTAAGATTTTATTAATAATTCGATAAAAAGGAATTCAAATTTGTTAATAATTGATTTGAAATTGTATCGTTATTTTTTATAAAAAAGAAGCACTTTAAAGCTTTTCTATCGAATCTTTTTTTTTTTTTCTTTTTTTTTTTTTTCTTTTTTAAGATATCATTGTTCGTATCAAAGAAAGATTTCGAATTGAAAGACAAACGCGATCAATGAAGGAGGTAACTTGGGCAGAGGCTAAGGAGGTCGTCGAATGATCGGTTCGAGGTCGAAAATGTCGATGGTATGGTTAGAGTGCTTTTACTATTGGTCACGGTGGTGAACTGGTGGCGTCGAGGAATCGATCGTTACAGTTTCCTGCCTTCTTTTTTTTTTTATAACCAGCACTAAAATTAACAAGAAACGTACTTGGTGTGTTTTTGAGAAATGCGTGAAAATAACGAGAGTCGCGTTTCAATTACTTAGAAATCACCGCTTCTATAAACATCTAACAACTTACTAACAGCTTGCTTTTTAACTCGGGAAAAAAAGAAATGAAAAGAACTCGTAAAGACGAAGTTTCTTAATACATCCAATAAAATACATCGCGCCGTTATTTTAAGGATTGAATTTAAGGGGTCATATTTTGCACATTACGGATCTCCACGCTCCTTTTTTCTCTATTCTTCTCGTTCCAATTGAGAAAGAAATCGTGTCTCTAAGTTTCTACCAAATAAACGACAAAGCGATACGAACGATTTCTAACATCGTTTCTAGAACATTCCTACGAAGAAAAAAGCCTTTCAAGGAGGCAAAGGCGCTAGTGATCTAGGGAGTATTAACCGGAGACAAAAGAAATCGATTGCTTTCACGATCGCTCTTGCATTTCGAATCGCGATCATTTTTTCTTTTTCTCTTTTTTTTTTTTTGAATGCATTTCTATTTACGCTTGTGACACTTAATCGAGAAATCGATTAACACGACCACGCCAATATGGCCCCCCCGATGATCTCGATCCTGCGACCGCTTCTTCTACGCTATAGTATACGCTCCTTCGAGGCTGACGATGAAATAGAATGAGGCACAAACGTGTCCCTGTTATCCGAATAATCAAAGACTGGTTTAACCTTAAGCACGGACGGACTTTAGGACCGGAAGTTGGTGGTGCGACTATTGATCGGCCTGGGCACAAAAGCAGGCCACGAGGTAAGCCGCATCATGCGACCTGAACGTCACTCCTTTCCTCGCACTTCCACAACGCGTATTACCATCGTTGCATGACTTTTCGACTTCCTACGCTTTCCTGTTTTGCTCGTTTGTATGTGTGCTCGTTTACTTCGACTGTTATCTATGCTGATTTCGAGCCGTTGGCTGCGCTTGCAAAACTCGACACCGGTGATAAGTGTTCGCAAATTATATACGAAATTTTAATCATGAGTAAAGATATCGGAACCTCGGGAGGTTTAATTGATGTTTTTTTTTTTTAAAGGAAAAGGAAGAGTTTAATATCTTGTCGGGAAAATTTTATGCTCTTATTTGACGATTAATCTGTGTTTACGTTAGATATGAAGGAGGAAGTTCTTTGAAGTTGGTTTTTAATTTGTTTAATTGTAGATAATGATTGTAATTATTTTACAGGATACGCGTTATCGATGATGATTCGTTGTTATGTAGTATTTGTGTAATATCGGCGAAGAAGAAACGTTCAATATCGATAATAAAAATGATAAGGTAAAAATGTAATTCAGAGGGAAAGTTTACTTTGATGATATGAAGATTGATTAAATTTTTTACAAGTTACTCTTATAAAGAGATCGCTACGTCTACGTGATATTTAACTTTCAGCAAATTATTTACATTTTAATTCTGAATACACGTTTAAATTTACACAGATCTTTTCCTTTATCGTCTAAATTACCAGTTACACAAATCTCTCTAACTTCCATTTGTCTCTCGATGTCAAATAAACAGAATGATAATATTTATGAATTGGAAAATCAACACGATCGATATAAAAACCGATAAACATTTAAATTCGCGAATTCCTTTATCCAAAAAAAAACTATACCATTACTTGAATTATCTACAAACAATACCTATGTAAAATTGATACAAGATAGAAACCAACTTCAAAGGAAAACAGAAAAAAAAACCGAACAAACTATGAATATAAATACAAAAATTAAATCCCAGAAACGTGTAATCTCGTGTCTTCTCTCGTGAAGCTATCACCAGTGTTACGTTATTATTATCACCGATCTTTTTCTTTTTTTTTTTTTTCGCATGCACAATGCGTCGGATGCGTGTTTCTTTGTCCTCGCAACGCTCGAGTTGCATTGGCGTGTGGTTCGTGGCGCGCGACGACAACGCGTGCGTTGCGGAACCGGCTTCTCGGTTCGAAAGATCCTCCTGCGAGGTCGATCCTCCGCACAACATTGTATATATATTCACCACGACACGTCTCTCTCGACCGCACGGATCCTCGATTTCCTTCGCGTGGAACCAACGTCTTTGTGTTGCCCACCAGACGAATGTTCCACCGCTCTGCTTCACTTTTATTATCATCCTTCGAATCTTCTCTCCCCTTTCCGATCACTGATCGTGAGCGCGGCAAAAATGATCGCGTGATGACATTATTCACGGGATGCGGTTTGCTCGATCGTCGACCGGAAAAAGCAATAGTTTTGCGGTTAGAATGGAAACTCGTGCTAACGAATTATTTAGAGATTTGTATGCTAATTTTGGATATTTTTTTTCTTTTTTTTTTTTTTTGGAGAATGTAGTAAAATGTACTGCTTGCTATATAATGTTTGTTTGTTTCTGACACCCGGGTAGAGGGCCGCGTTGTAAGCCGGTAGGGCCGGGCGTTGTTATTATTCCCCGCCATTTTGTTCTAGGGAAAGAAACAGGATGCCGACCGCCGCCACGCCCGAGAAATCAGCTCTTTTGGGGTAAGTTTCGTCGAATAACAATACAAAGACAACACCTGTAGAAACTATATACGCATTTTATTTATACATTTCGTGGTAGATGTACAATGGAAAAGAAACTTCGTAGGTAGATAATCGAACCAAGCTGTTGTATACGCCCTGTAATAATACATATCGACATCCGTTCCATAGGGATTTTTGTTGTTGAGAGTGTTGTAAAGAGAGAATTGGCATTGACCCCGATATCAATAAAGCCGAATGATCGTCAAGATAATTGGCAGCTATATTATTAAGAGTGGCAACGTTATTATTTCTTTTCAAAAGTACAAAAGACAAGTCAAGGTTTGCTTCCGATAAACCGTTAATATCAAACGTAACGTGCACACATTTCTGATATAAAAAATCTGGAACGAATCGTTTCGACGTGGTGTCATATTTTATACGTGTATTTTCTGTTTTCCTTTTTCCCTTTTTTTTTTTTTTTTTTCCATTCGAAGTTATCGCAATTCCCAGAAGTTCTAACGCAAGAGCGAATCGATAGGATGCATTAACTCGGTGAAAATGAAATTGTAATGGCGAGGGTATTGCGTGCGACCTATTTCTCCCAACGGTTTATACGAATGATCGTTTCACGGCCGTTCGCCGTGGAAAATATATTTTTCGATTACGCGAAAGGACGAAGTTTAAAAGTTTTATCTGGAAATTATCATCGTTCCCCGCGAAACGAGAGGTTATTCCCTCGATTTTCCGCAAGGGGGATGGGATTCTTGTAGTTCGATTATTTCGAACGAACTCGAACGAACCCTTCGCTCCATTCTTTGTCGGAACGAAAGTTCTTGGAAAGTTTCACGCTTGTCGCCATCGCGTCTCCATTTTAAATGTAAATTTCAAGCATAATTTGAATTCTCAAATGTTATTATCTCGACTTTCAAGGACTTCCTTTCTTCAGCGGGGAACCGATGATCTTTTTTAATTCGAGAAAACCTTCCTTCGGATCAACGATTAACATCTGCCTAGGAATTAACAATTACGCGCGAATTAAACTCTCGTTTATTCGTTCATTTCTTTTTTTTTTTTTTTTTTTTTTTCTTTTTCAACGAGATGAAAGGAATGGTTGGACACGGTAGGAGGAATGGATACGAGCCACGAAGTTGAACGCAGTTTCCAACAAGACGGGGGATTTTAATGAAATTTGCGTTATGTAACCGTCTCGAATACGTTTCACTCGCGTGTGCACGAGGAGCCAATTCGAGCCGACCAACAAGCAAAGAGCGGCTTTGACGCGCGACATTAAATTTCTAATTTCGTGGACACGTCGTATTGTTCCCACGTAATTAAAACTCGAGAATTACACTTCTATCTGATTGCTCGGTTGATTCGAACGAGTCCACGTCGTAAATAACTCCTTCGTCAAACACGTCGCAATTGTAACGCGTTTCGCAATTTACCGATCGACGTATTGTGTTGTATCGTAATTAACTTCATTTCCACACGAATTCTCTGTCTCCGTTTTATTTATATACGCGTGGCCAACTCGTTCGTTACCGTGACTAATTTCGAAACCTATCCATCTATCCATTTAAATTCAACCATGCCAATTGTGAATGGTTAAAGATTTTTCCATTTCGAATGTAATAAATTCTCTATCTCGAGAAACATTATCGACGTTATTTTAAAACGTGTGAATCACCGTGTATTTTCCTCTTGTACCGAAATTGGATAATCAGACAGACTGGCGCCCTACTTGCAATCGGAACCGCTTCTGTACTTCTTCCTAATCGATCTTCGTTGCAGAGCAATTAACGGTGAAATTAGGATTAATTACGGTCCATTAAAGCAGAAAACAACGAGTCAATTGTTCAACAACATTGATTTTCTCGGTTTAAAAATATTTACTCGAAATAGAATACGCGTTTCCGTGTTGCACGGAGAGAATAAAGAAGTTGAGGATTATCGATCTACGTGGTATTTGTGTCACAAGCTTGTGATAGTTGACAGTGCCACGTATAACTTAAAAAATAATGGATAAGTGAAGTTGAGTTTCACGTTTCATTTTTTCTTTTTTCTTTTTAAATCTTTTTCTTACAATGAAATTTACGCGTGGAAAATTCAAAATGGGCTCTCGAAATAAATATAGAAAATATATCGTATCAAGAATGTTTCTTTGAAGTCAAGACGTAGAAAATACGTACTTTGAATCTTTCATGGCTGATAGATAATTGCGTTACGTTTTAATTATTAATTATTAATCTTCAAAAAGTTTTGTTTTTAATTTAAAAGGAGAAGGTTTTAGTTATTTTTCTTTTTTTTCGTATATATCAACGAAATAATCTAATTACTTTTCATTGATTCCTATTCATTTTTTTGTGTTACAGTTATATAAGTTGTACGTGATGATGAATGGTGTTAACGGGACATTAAAATGTAAGAAATTCCTTATGACGCCGGGAATTCATACGTCATTTTGCTCTATTTTCTCTGAAAAATTCGTTTTCGTGCCACTTGGCAACATGCCGGATTCACCTGAATTGCAGGATCCTCGGGATTTAGCTCAATTTCCAACTCGATAGAGACAATGGGCCAATTTCCCTCTCTCTTTTTCCAGTTTCAAACAGTTTAGGGGAATATCGTGTCAGAAACGTTGATCGAAACATTGGAAAATTTGAAATTCTATACCATCCTGCGTGAAATTTCGAAATCGAAATTTTCAAGACAACGTTCTTACGTGATCTTTAATATCCATTCACGTTTTCTTCTTTCGTATATTAGAAAAGTCATTTTTATGTGCACGCACATATAATATGCTAAAAGATATAATTTATTCGAATATAAACTGACTTATTGCGATATTTACATATTAATTTCCGGTTCCATAAAAGTTTATATTTATATAAAAATTCTAGTAATAAGGTATAAAAAAAAGAAAATCTTCATACGTCGTTATCCATTTTTAGGAATAATATTTTAATAATGACGCAATGGAAGAGTGGACGTAAATTTAACTCTAATTAACAACTTCAACGAAATATTCTCATTATATAGAGACACCCACGCTCTACTATATCCCGATCATAATTATAACTAATTAACGAGAACAGAAGACAAAATTCGTGTCAACTGTCGTGCAAACCGGGGTCCTTTATAAACTGTCAAATTTCAATAGCAGATGTACTCATGTTTCATAATTGCTAGCATGAGTGTAGACAAATGGCCACGAAATATACAAGGTAAATTAGAACAAAAACCCGACAACAACTCGTCCAGGATCAGAGGCGAACGAAAGGTAACGAATTGTTGTGCAATTGCAGTTAATGCATGGAATGAATAGAATATTTCAATTCTTTATACCTTCTATTATATTATATTACCTTTTTTTTAGGATGCATTTTTTCCTTGATATTGGGCATCGAGCTGTCTTTTTTCCATCCTTAAAACACGATTTGAATTTATTTTTCGTTAGATAGAATCGCTTTGGCAAATGCGATCTGCATAGATCTCTTGGTCAGACTTGATTGTTTTTGTTAAAATGATATTATTAGAAATGTTGTCATGTTACTTCATGTCGTAAACATTTCCATACTTTATAATATGATATACATATATACTACTTTATTTGAAATATTTCTAGATTCTAGATATTATACTACGAATAAAATAAAAATACGAGTGCAATTAAAGAACGAACCTGCGTATAAATTTGCTTCATAAAAATAAAAAATAAGAAACGACAAAATTATTTACAATCCATATTTTCTATATTATTCGAAAACTGCTCTTTTCTTATCTCGATCTTGAATAAAATTCGGTCAGATCTAATTTCTGCTAATAATCACTCGAGCTCGTTTTTGTTTTCAAAAAGGAAAGCCTGATTCCGTAAGCCGTAAGGGAAAGATGTAAATCGATCTAATCCCGACAGCCTCGTCTTACACGCATCTCTCTGCTCCAACGGTGAACAGGTTACTTGCTAATAAAAAAAAAAAAAAAATCTCGTGTGCAGCTCGGTTAATCGATCGGTAAAAAGGATATGAACGAGATATCGAATGACGTGGATATCGAATGTTCCTTCGACGGTGGTTAGCCTGGCTCCTAGCGACAATCGATCGAATGGGTTTCTTGGGAATCCAACATTTTCTTTTTCTTTGCCAAGTGTTATGTACCACCTCGTCAGGTACCATATATATATATACCTGTTCCTACCCACAGCAATTTTATTTCGTATCTCGGCTTTTGCTTCTGTAAATTTATGTCGTATCAATTTTATCGTATCGCTTCAACGTTGAATTATTTATTGGACGTTTAATCTTCGTATCTATTTAGTATATTTCTTCGTATTATTATCTATATTCATAGGCGTGAGGATTCATCATGATTTAATAGAAGAGGAGAGAATGATCAATGTGATCGAATCCTTTGTGTTTACATTGTAAAACGTGCGGAAAAAATTTAGAAGAGCTTAATTTTTTTCTTTTGCGTGGTCAAATATGATTTTGATTCATTTATGCAAATTAATATCGTTACACGCAAAATATTATTTTGTAATATTATATTTTTATGAATATATATATATACACGAAGGTATAAATATTTGTTTACGATATATTTTATTAAAATTGTAATATTTGTATAATATTTCAATCAACGACTTGTTAAATTCATCTCATTTTTCATAAATTTCCTGATAAATTTATAAAACGTGGGAGTGCAAGCATAATACTATAATACGTTAATATTATTTATGTATACGGCAACTTTGTACACATTGTGGCAGATATTCAACCGTAATAAAATACAATCATAATTACTCTCACGTTTTAACGAATCCGTTATCTAGATTTAAACACTTCAATTTCAAGCGTTCGTTGCCTGTTTATCTTGCTCCATATTTAAATCTTCAGATTTTAAATTTCGAATTATCTTTGGAAAATCCACTCTAGAATCCGCGATTAATTTGCAACAGTTTCAAACGGGAGTTTACAGCCCGGCTTAAAACTCTCTGACTTCTCATGAATGCGAATATCTCG